ATGTGACAGAAATTGCCTTTGTAACTGTATAGTACATCTTTTTAATGTCTTAATGCTTGTTAGTGCTTAGATTTAATAAAAAGAAAAATCTTCAAGTAGAACTTGATTCCTAAGGACTACGTGGACCCATCTATGTAGTTTCTGGACAACAATGTGGAAGTGGTTGGCCACTGCTGCCTTCTGGATTGCTATTGGTTTGTGGTTGAGTTTCCTGGTGGTTTCTCTTCCACATAACCAGGTTGGCTAGGTGCTGCCACCCAGCTGGGTCTTAGCTTTAACATGAAGTTGTCTAGAGGAGTCTTCCCCATATTGGTGTTCCTAACATGTGAATGGAAAACAGCCACAATTGCTCCCAAATAGTAAAAAGCTACAGTTCTTGAAACACAGATTTCAGGAAAAAAAAATTCAACAAGTTAAGTCAAATAAGACCACTTGCAATTTTTCCACTGGTATATATTTATACAGAAGGACTTGTTTTGAGAAACGATTAAGATTATATGAAGTTGCATTTATCACAGGTTTTGTCTTGTTTGTTTGTTTGTTGTACTTTAAGCAGAATTGTGACAATTCTCATTCTCCAAACACCCTCCAGAAGAGTTCAGTCTCCAACAGCTTCAGGAGGGCCAGTACTCAAGGGCCAATTCAACTGTAAGCGGGAGGCTATGTTGGCTTCAATGGAGAAATAACGCATGGAGGCTTTCACCCCTTTTCCTTTAAAACTTGAGGGATCACCAGGAGATTCTGATGGGGTGTGTGCATTGAATGGATGGGATGGGCTGCTGCCATGTTGATGATACAGCTCTGTAAATACCTCAGTGCCAAGCCTTATAAGGCTTTATAGTTTGAAGCCAACTCTGAATTCACCCAGAAGTCACAAGAGAGAGTCCTCTTACCCTTAATGAATCTGTGGTCAGAAATGATTTAATATCTTATAGAGGTATAGGTACATCACTAGTGCTTTGGCCTGAACATCAGTCAGGATTGTACCCCTTCAGGAAACAAGAGAGAATGCTCCTTTCAAATTTCCCCATGCTTAAAAAATTGAATGAATGAATGAATGAATGAATGAATGAATGAATGAATGAATGAATGCTTAGTATTGTCATGCTTCAATAGTTTTCAACTTCCAGAAAGTAGTACAGTATGTTCAGTGCAACTCTTTTCTCCTGTCCCTTGTATCTTCAAGTAATACTGTTGATTCTTCTACTTGAGAATTCTGCCACTCCATTTCTTAACCCATTCTGCTACATATGTCAACCAGAATAATTTATGAATGAAGGCAGGTCTCCGAATGAAAGATAGCATATGACTATTCTTCATATAAAATTGGTAACCCAATGGAGGAACAGATTCCTTCTCACTTTTGTCTGGAACTGTAACCAGGAGGGTTTTAGCACTTGTAATCGATGAAAACTGATTTGAGAAATAGTTACAGAACTGCATCTGAGCGTAGCTGAGTGGTTTTACTCTTATCTTCCTCTTTCTTTTTAATGTTAAAGCAACTAAAAATTAGTCAGCCAGTTCAAGAATTTAGAAGAGATTTTAGAAACAGAGTTCTGTGTTTGAGAAAAAGGGAAAAGTTCTATTCCCTTAACAAGAGGATGGGAAAGAAAAATGTCAGTCCTTTCACACCGTTACTTGTGTACATGTAAGTTCTTCCTACATGTAAGACTTCCTACATGTAA